AGTTTGGTGGTCCCGAGGAGCCGTGTCTTTTGAAACCCATCAATGCCGCCACAACAACTTTTTACTTTGTCTAGTCCATTTTGGGACTGGCTTTTCGGTCCCACCAAATCTCGGCTATTTCCTTTGCATTTTCGCTTTGACTCTTCCTATGCCGCACTATCGTATTTCGTTAATGGGCGGGAAATGCAACTGTCGCCGCACTCGAATGTCAAGGAAAACATCGGCATAAGTAGAGTGCCCTGGCTGCTGATTGAATAACGCCAATCGAGGTGTGATCTAACTAGTTCAGTGTCGGAAAATGCCAATCTTAAGCCTTGCAAAAAGTCGCAAAGTTGTTCCTTAAGCTGCTCAAGAAATGAAGTTGATTAGGTGTTGAAAAAAGTTATAAGATAAGATGAGGCTTTAAAAAAATGCACTTAAAACGGAAATGAATCAAATGAGATATATTTTGGGAAATATAAAATATAAAAGTCGAGCTATTATTTATTTTAAATAAGTATGGTATCTGAATTATACCTCAAAATCAAAACCAATTCCATAACAAAATATTTCCAGCAGCTCCCACAACCCAGAGATCCCCTGAAATAAACCTGTTGCTCGCAAAAAGTTCCCAAAACTCCAAGTAATGTTAAAACTTTCGCCAACTTCCCTTAACGAACTGGCCGCCGTTTAATCACAAATCAACTTTCACGCCCCCAAAGACTCAAAAAACTCGAAGATGTGAACCGAGCTTAAAAATATGAACTCTCGTCTTGAGCGCTCACTTAAAGCTAGCCACATTAATCTACAATTACTTTGTATGCCCGATGGCCGATGGCCAAAAAGCCGAGAAAAATGACTCAATTTAAATCAATAAAGGGCAGGGAAACGGGCCAGCCAATACGTGGTGACCCCGACTAGGGAGATGGAGGGAAAAAGGGTGACCCACCGTCTGAATGGCCGCGTACGAGTGCCAGATCAACTTCGGACTGAGTGGCTGCGGATCGTAGCGCAGGCGGGCATATTGCTTCATGAATATTTTCCAGATTACATAAGCCATCGTCGAAGCGTCTCCGGTCATAAAGATCGATATCCACATGCAAATTATATGCGTGCCAGGAAACTGCCGGCACTTCCAATCCAGATTCGGGTTCCGATTCGGATTCGGGTTATGGTTTGGGTTTGGACCGGGATCTTGGAGCCCGTCCGCTTAATGCGTAGTTTGTGTTGCGTTTATTGTTTTCATAAATAAAGAAAAGGCACTCCGAAATTTGTCGGCTTGCATTATTATTATTATTCCTTATTATTATTGTTGCAATGGCGATTCACTTGGCAGACAGATTCACTTCATTTTTCACAGCACAAGCGCAAAAAAACAGACGGCTTAAACCAACAAAGGCAAAAGGCAAAAGGCTGGGCGCATACAAAAGGAAGGCAGTGTGGCAGACTGCGGCTCCCCCTTCTCGTGATCTTGTGTATTATTTTAATATTTATTTACATTTTGAGCATTTTGCATAACGCGCGGGTCACGACGGAAATCGTCGGCTGGCAATTTATCAATACATAGTTGTGTGGCCTAAAGGAAAGAGCCAGAGTTAAGCCGAGTCGAAGTCAGAAAGGTTCAGCGAGACGCGAAATCAAAACAAATGAAAAACGCGCCAAAAAATCAAAACGCGCACAAATTTTGTCTTACTGGGCGTTTGATATTTTCTTTTTTTGGTTCGAATCGGGGCGAGGAGATCAATAGGAAAAACGTCAAGACCCATGGGTCCGTCTGTCCGGGAAACGAGTTCAAAGCGTTTGCGGCGGCCGCTTTGCACCAACTAAATTGAAATGAGCGGAGCGCGAAATGAAAAAGCCCCGGCGATTCGAGGGTGTAACTCACAGATACTCACCCAAACACCCTGCTCCTCACTCCCCACCCCCCTTGCCAACAGCATTTTCCACTGCAGGCTTCAATGATTTTCCATGCGTGCGAACGCCTATTTGAATTTTGCCTGGGCTTTTCGCTTTCCGCTTTTTGCGCTCCATTCGAGCCCAACTTAGCTGACTCAGTCGCCTGATTGAATGGCCGGCAGAAAAACGCTCGCGGAACATCAATGGCAGCAGCAACAATAAACACAACACACCCACAATTATCGGTGATTTATAGTCAAGGCTATCTCAACTTTGACAGGCGCTTGGTCACCGGCTGCATTAGAATACAATCAGGGATTGAATATTTTAACATATATTCTTAAGAACGATTTAATGCAAATTTTGGATTTTGAATTTTTAGTAATAATCAATCCAACTCGAAGGTAGAACAATGTCCAATTATGATCAGGACTCAGCAAAAGATTGGTATGAGTTCAAAACTCAAACTAAAAAAAAATATGTTAAAAAATTTAAATGTAAAAAATTTTGGAATCATTACCATTAGAATATTTTAATATCCTTCAAATATATAATTTGATTTATGAAAAATAAAATAATAAATATTCTGTTGAATTAAATTTGTCTCAAAAATGAATTCATTTCCCAAATTAATGAAGATGTGTATTTGAAATAAAAAGTAAATGGTAAATATTTATGAGACACCGAATTAAACAGCTCAAATTGTAAGAGGGCATTACTCCCTGTTCAAAGAGTATCTAATCAATCGACTTGACAAATCAAATTGTATCGTTCACTTCCATTTATTCAGTATTTCGGGCTTGGGACTGAGGTCTGCTTTATGCACAATGTTATTGTTTGCTCCGCTCTATAGCCCCCGCCCTTGATTTGGGCCCATCCCTCTGCCATAATTGTGAATACAAAGCATCATATAGACATCTTCAACTCCTGCCTTGAACTTGGCAAGTTCTCGTGTACAAAATAGTCATGTATATAGGGGCTGTCCACATATATTTTGTTTGCTACTTTGTCGGTGTTTAGCTCATGCATTTTGACAGGCATTTGTTTACGATCTCGGACTTGGGGTTTCCTAAAAACGCTAACGAGCTGGGGTTCCTTTGGTTCCTGGCTCCTCGAGATCCCCATGCGATTTCGTTAATCGGAACACGCGATGAGTGTTTACTCCGCTTCAGTTTCACAAATCTGGGCAGTTGCTGAAACTTCGAGTGGTGAGAATAAACATTTGTCGGCGGTATAAACAATATGGGCCGCACCGAGGGCCATAAATATAAGTATTAAGTGCTCTTCTCGGTGGGCCTGCCATATTTCCATTTGTAATGCGAACGAGCATTAGAATAATGTTTCATCGCGAATTGGGTTGTGAGCAAGAGTATCAATATTTCCGCAGTCAATTATACTCAATTAATTTTAACGATTAGTGCGGGGTTAATAGTGAATCACTGTGTCGTGATTTTATTCCGGTTTTATGACTAGTAACATTTAGTTATGTGAAGTCATGTGCCCTTTGCAAATAGTTTACTTATCTCTACACTTGTAAGGCTTTCAGTCATGAAGTTCATTTTTATGACGTTATAAATTATTTTAGCAATTTTTTCAGTCATGAAGTCCATTTTTATGACGTTATAAATTTAATTCGCAATTTTAAAAGTAGTTTTAAGTAGCGCCAGCCCCTCAAAAAGTTAACCCATTTGTTTTATAAAACCAATTTGCCCGCCTAATGTCATACAAATAAAACACCTATTTTGCAGTCTATTGGCTCATATCAGTTGCAGCCTAAAAATATTAGAAAACTTTTTAATATGCCAGGGGCGTTCAACTTAACCCCTACGTGCTCTGTTTGAGATCCGCATTGTTACAAACACGAAAATTTCGAAATCGCACAAATACCAACTACAAATAATTGCCAAAAATCACCGGCAAAGTCAACTTTCATAAACGGCATTCAATTTGATTTGCACAATTTGGGGGCCTCTTAACGGCTTGGTTGCTTGATTTTCACATTTGTGGCATTTTGGCATTTGTTTGAATTGATAACAGGCTGGAAGTGCCTTTCAGCCTGACAGCCATAATCGCTCAACGCCAACTGTGTTTTAGGGGTGGAGTAGTTGGGGTGTTTTGGGAGCCAGGGGATGAAGTACCTGGTGTGTAGGACCAAGCCTATGTCTCCGGCAGGTCGATGGACACACCCACCCGGCGAAAACTGGCGGAAGGCGGAAACGGAACAAAGCCTCAGACAGTGGGCACCTCGACCTCAAACCACTCCAAACTCTGATGGAGAAATTATAGCGAGTCACGCGAGTGCGAAACTTTTCTAACCCTTCTTCAGTCGACTGTGCCCCGATTCACAGGAAAACCAGAATTAGCTTAAAATTGCACCGAAAGCCCGAAATGATTGTATTTAATTGAATTTGGGGCCAGTCTGAATAACTTTTAATTGAATTCCAGCTAAAATCTAAGGGTTGCGGGGTGGGATGATGACCCATTTGGGATCCACCAAAGGATGAGCCACACAAACGAAGAATATCACCCTAATTGTACAAAAAGTTTGCATGTCTCTACCTAATCTACTAATCTGTATACTTTATTAACTAGCACAATAGTTAAATTACTTAAATAAATATTTCATTTAAATTATTGGACTATGTATATTTTCTTAACTACGTTACTGATTTAGTACTTAGAGTAAAAGCTATAATTGGTTGGTTTTTGCTTTCAGAAAGTGCTAAATTTTATTGTAATGACAAAAAGCTGGTAAGTAACAACAGTTGCTGTTTTGTAATTAACAATAATGACTTTGGATTTTTTTGTGTAACAAAGTAAGATATTTAACTCAAATGATGCGTTAACAAAGTCAAATGAGTTTAAATAGTTGAAATTGTCTGCAGGTCTAAAACCGCCTTAAAACAGATGAGGTAAAAATTATAAGAACAGCCTTGTAATTACTTGTTATTACATAATGAATTAAATATATTAGTTTTAGTCAAGTTTAACTCTTACTAATTTTAGTATATTGACGTCACTTAAAGGGAGTATTTAATAACAGATATCTTATTTTAAAGCCAATAATATTATGAATTATATAAATTAAAATTAAATACTATTTCCATTTCTTCCGGTGTACTCACGTGACATCGTCTCCTGGCCAGCCGGCGTTTAATCCACTTGAACGCCTCCTTGCGACCGTGGACGAAGGACATGCTGCCGCGGTGCCAGAGGTGCAGGACGACGACGAGGAGGCGCTGCACCCAGACTCCGAACCTCTCGCTCACCTCTCTGCGCAGCTGGAACATTAAGCACTGCACTCCACGCGACTGGCCTCGAAATCAAATACCATAACTTTCGGGGTGATTTTCGTTTGAATTCAGGTGGTTTCGTTTGAATTCAGGTGATTTCTAACTAAAGACAGCGCGATATTCCTGGGTGGATTTGGCAAATACCCGGGCGACTGGTAGAATTTCACTTTTGTTTTTGGGGGCGGTACGGTACGCGGTACGGACTCGTTGTTACTTCAGTTGCGTTTGTTGTTTGACTGAGAATGCCGCCGAGTTTGCTTCTCCGCCTGGGCAAACTTTGGGTGAGTGTGAGCAGGAGAGCTTGCGACGTGAGACATGAGACATGAGACGGAGAGAGCCCTGCACTTGCGATTGTCACCGGCGTTGGCGATACTCACACTTTTTCTTCTGGCTTTTCGCGTTTTGTTTATACATTTTTTCTGTTTCTGGTGCGGCCCGCGTGCGTGTGGCTTACTGAGAAACCCAGAAAAACGTACTACTCGCACATAAATAATGCAATAAGTTGGGCGCCCCAGCCAAACGAGACAAAAACAGAGAAGGAAAAAAAAAATTAAAATAAAAAAAAACGAAACCGTTTTTGCATTCACAGCACATCACACACATCACACCTCTCTTACTGCCCAAACACTTTGCTTTTGAACCGAGCTTTGCACTCGATTTGATTGCCGGCAGAAGCGGCTTCAAAAGCAACAGTCGAGCGACATGCACGCAGGGGAAACCCATTTTACGGTGAAGGCGAAGGTGGGGCTGTTGCAATGCACGGCCTAGGCACAGTGGGTGGAAAGGGGTGGAAAAGTGGAAAAAGTCCCGTGCTAATGGGTTGCCAGATACCACCTTAAACCAAATAATCAATTTCAAAGAATTTTAAAAAAATATATAGTATTGGAAAATATTGTAGATCACTCTTTTTTTGTGCTCAAATCCGTCTGTAGGAAAATGCATTTTTGTATATTTGTAATTTCATATTCATTATCATACCTCTCGACCTACATAGTTAAATAAACATTTTACAAATAAATAGGTCAAGCAATCTTTCAAAATTAAAAAAAAAAGTTTATTTCAAGTAAATTAAATTTTGGATTGGTGTTATTATATTCCCACCTTTGCCTATTTGACTACATTTGTTGCCGGAATAAACAATGTTTAACTTTTTTTTTTTTTTTTTTGGAGACAGATTGAAAATTAAATGCACTTTTTTTATTATTTTTTAACTATTGCATTTGAATATAAATAGGCATATTAATGGAATCCACTGTGCTTGGCTAGTTCATGTGTGGGCGTTTCTAGGCAATTCCCTTGCACCGAACCTCGCCGAAGTGCAAGTGCCGCTAGGCGACGAAGGCGAACAAGTGTTTTGGGGTTTGCTATAAAATGCGAGGAAGACAAAAGCCCGTGGAACCGGCCATCGGAAAGCTTTTAGACCGCAGATTAATGTTGCTGCTGGTGTTGTTATTTTGTTATTTTGTTATTTACCCCGCTCGTTGCTAGTACGGTTATTTATTTATTTATGCTAATGTTGCCGTCGACGGCGACGTCGCTGAAGGCAGAGGCGCTGACGCTGCATTTGCATTGTTTATAATGAGAACAACGAGAAAACTAGCCCAGCAACAAAAAGGGGGCAAACACAACAACTACAGGAACAACAACAGCAACTGCAACAACCACTGCAGCAACAACAGTAGCAACAAAAACACGACAAGTGGCACTCACGCGACAAAAGCCCATAAATAAAGTGTTCTCATGATTATCTCGTTTGCTTGTGCGATATTTTCGAGTATCTTAAATGCAGAGGAAAATTAGGATTATTTTACTTATATTAAATATTTAAAATCACATTTTTCAGGCTAATGGAATATAATCGACTGAATAAAGCTAGCATAAGATAAAAAAGACATAAAGGACTTAAAGTATTAGAAACAATGTTCAATACCTAGATGTTCAGATAGTTCCAAAAGTTTAATCACTTTCAAAAGCGCAATAGAATTATAAGAATTATTTTTTTATGATTGGAATTATTTTAATTTTCGAATTTTAATAAATATTTAGAATACGGTTTATTATTACCAATTTTTTCGTGTGTGCTTTGATTTTGGATACGGGCACATAGAAAGTTTGGAGTTCCCATTGCGGAGAAATTGATGGAAAATTCTCAGCACGTTCATCAGTTGATTCTCCTTCTCTCTTTGATGGACAGCTGGGCGTCAGATCACCCAGCTCAACTTGAGGTCTTTGAAGTATAGGTTTAAAATGCACCTGTGCCTCGAATCTTCTGCCGCCGAGCCGCAGCTGTCGCCAATGGGTACGATGGGCTATGGGAATCCAGATCCCAGAACCAGCTGATTTAGCCTAATGAATTTCGATGCTTTGCCCAGCGATTCAGTTGGATATCGGCGAAAATAACAGGCTGGCACGACTGACTGAAATCGAAGGCAAATAATTAAAATAGCTGGAAATCGGAACTATCAGGAATGAAGTACTCGCCATCACTACTTATTTCTTTAAAAATTTGAGTAAATTCCCTAAAGCAATTCGTATTTAATTATTTTACTAACATATATCTAATTAAATATTGCATATTAAATCATAACCTACATGTTATTTTTTAATAGAAAAGTTTAAAATATAAGAAATAAAATATAAAATATAAGCTATAGTATGACCTTTCGTTTTAAAATATTTTGGTAAACTGTCAAATTATGTCATTTTGTTAGTAACCTTCGTAAAAGTTGTCATTCAGTTGACATTCATTGTTGTTTCCAATACCGAACGAATTTCGAGTCGAGCTCCGTTCTTTATATATTTTCTAATTATCACGTCGCGATGGATCCTTCCAATAGTAAAGTGGACAAAGATGTTGCGGACAAAGTGCGCTTCCACCTGAGCAAGGATGAACTGGAACGCCAGATGCGGATCATCCACGAGAATAGTGACTCATTGGATGGCAGGAGCCGGGCTTCCGGAAGCGGAACCAATGGACGCAGTCGGAGCGCCACTTCGTCGAATGGATTGCCAAAGCAGGAATCGTGGATCTTCGAGAGCGTTGGCGGTTACTATCTGCCCAATGAGGATGTGGCCAAGATGTCGCTGGCACGTCAGGAACAGCTGCTGATGAGGGATCTCATCTATGCCTTCTCTGGAGTGCCCTCCTCGCATGTTAAGCCCGATATCCAGGTGGATCAGATTGCCAAAATGAGTGCCGTGGATATAGCCAAGGTTCGCTTTCGTTTGGATGAGGTCTTTAATGGGGCTTTTAGGGCCTTGGCCAATGATATGTTGCCTTTGATCGGGTACTACATAAGTGTACAGAGTTTCATTGAGGAGACCAATATGTCGCCAAGTTGCGGTAGAACTCGTCTGGCTTTGGCCACCGCCTTTGGTGACCAAATGCAGGAGTACTATGACCTGCAGGCCAAGTTGGAAACGGATCTGCAGGAAAAGAAGTTGAATCTCAAGGATCTGGTGCGACAGGTGCGTCCCTGGTTGTCCACCTTGAAGGTTTTTTCCAACATGGCCTGCAGTTCCCGGGGAAAATTAACCAGTGCCCAGTTGCTCACCTTGTTGGATATGTTTTCCCGGGAGCAAAAGGCCAATGAACCGGACCTCAAGGAAAGGGTCTCCAAAATTCTGGGTTCTGTGACCCGCGTTTACATGAAGATTGTCCAGTTGTGGATGCAAAAGGGTATCCTTTACGATACTCAGCATGAATTTTTCGTGGAGGACACCGAACGTTCCAATGCACTGAGTAGCACTCTACTGACGCCGGAGAAATGTTGCCACGCCTACTGGGCGCAGCGGTACCGCCTCCATCCCGATCGTCTGCCCGTTTTCCTGCTTCCCCAGGCGGATGAAGTATTTCTGGCCGGGAAGTACCTGAATATCCTGCGCCAGAGCAATGTGGCCTTGAAGTTGCTGCAGCAGCCGCTCAGTTATACTCCCGATGAAACAGGACATGTGGAGATAATCAAAACTAGCTATGAGTTGCCGGCGGGGAAACTATTGGAGGTTCTAGTGCAGAAACACAATCTGCCTTTGCACCTTCGCAATTTGAGGTCCTTCTTCCTGCTGAAGCAGGAAGGATTCTCCGAGACACTATTGGACAAATGCCAGGAGCAGCTGCAGTGCAATGTGGATAGATTGATCCCGGAAAATCTCCAGACCTTGCTGGTGGAGACCCTGCAGCAGTCCAACGACTCCTTCAAGGATATGCTGCGCTGTCAACTCAAAGATTGCGATGTGGCCACTCAAATGGCCAGGAGGCTTAGGCCTGAAAAGTCTGAAGAGGATAAAGAGAGCTCCAGCGAGGAGGATCCACCAGAAGTCCTGAACCTTTGTGGCTACGAATCCTTAGCTTTTCGCTATGAGGCCAAGTGGCCACTGAGCTTTGTCCTTTACCCGGAGCTTCTCGAGCAGTTGCAAATCGTGCAGCGTGTCCTGCTCTTCCTGCGCTATGTGAATCGCCATCTGGCAGTCCTTTGGCCAACTCCTTCTGAGGTCACAGATCGAGCTGGTGACCTCCGCCAGCGAATGCTCATGACTATGCTGAATTGCGAACACCACATCATCTTGGACATCGCAGAACCTCGATGGCAATCATTGATTTCCACGGTGGATAAGGCCAAAACTATCGATGAGGTGTTGAATAAGTTGGAGACCACCGTAGATGAATCCCTACGTTTGGGACTTCTCTCCTCTGCCAACACTTTCGTAAGGGCTCTATTTACCCTGGGCCAAGTGTGCCTCAACTTTTGTGGATTCGTGGAATCAGCACCCGGTGGCAGTTTAACCCAAGAACTTGAACAGGGCATCCTTGAGTATGAAGAGGAGTTCGACAGCTTCATGTCTAGCATCCTGGAGTTGGTGAGGGAGCTGGCCAAAACGAATGAATCTGACGAGCAGGAATCCTGCAAACAGTTGCTCAAGCGCCTCCAAGAGTTTTGCAGAGAGCCCGAATTGGCTTAAGACGAGGATTTTTCTCACACATGTTTCCTCAGTCGATCAATAGCGTGACCAGTGACCAAGCAGCCTTGCCAAATCAGCCGTGCCTCCAAATCTCCATGGCCAGCCAACCACAAAAAATAACCCATGAAATATCAAGCGCTGTGTTTACACTTCCCAATTAGCCATTATTTGGGACTTCAGATTTACAAAACTTTAAAGATACATAAGGTACCAAAAAATAAATAAATACATGCATAAAAGAGGTAGTTAAACTATTGTTTAATGCAGCTGTATTAAATTAAATATTAATGCTCAAATATAAATCTTTTATTGCTTTAATACTACTTCAGGACTTGTACCTAGTGCACTAATAATGTAGGCAATGCCAATTAATAAATTTAGTTTATTTTAAAGGTATAATTTATAAGAGATATCTATATCTAAAAGCTATAACTTAGCTTGTGACCAAAATTTAGTAAAAATGCTAATGGCAGCTATCAAAATTCCAATGGTTTTTGAGTCCTTCAAGGATCCAGTAAGTGGTCAAACCATATCCACCGAGTGTGAGCATGGCATATACGTATGACACCTGTAGCGGGCCTCCACTTTTGACCTATTGTTCACCTCTGCACAATGGGCGTGAATAATCGATGTGTGCGTTTAATTTCTGACCGCCGAGCATTGTGTCGAGTCACGGTGGCAAGTGGCGCGTTTTGGTGGCTAGTGCAACGAAAGCGGTGATTTGCATAAGATCGTAAATTATTTTAAATGGCGGTAAAGAGATCTTAATGCTGTCTTGTTGGGATAGCCCGAATCGATGGACTGACGGGCCAAAGCCCGCTGCCAATTTGAATTCAAAGGCCAATTGTTATGTAAATGCACTTGCCTCAGTTGCAGACGCACGCAAGCGCACGAAATTTGTATTAATAAATAAAAGGAAACCTCGCGAGAGCGGCTGTCCAGAAATCACTTAATACTTAACGCTTTAAGGACAACAGGTGGTCGAAGTCGACCGACGACCACGATGATGATGCAACGAAAATCCAACTCCAACTGCCCAGAGCGGGCCAATAATAATGCACTCGAAATTATGGTAAAGTTCAGCTGCATTGCTTCCGAAATGTATATCATTATCTGCTTGCGAAAATGATGGACTGCCGCTGTCGGTTTGCATTTACGTTTACCCCGGCCGAATGGAGTTTTTCTGGGAGTACTTGCAGTGGAGTGACCAAAGGTAATACGTATGGCCGTGGGAATTCCCCCAGTTCAGCTGGGAGATCATGGCGTTTTCACCATTACGATGGGGGCAGGTTCATTAAACCCGGGCCACGCCCCTCGTCCGCGGGATGACTTCATTTGTGTGCGCCTAGAAATGTCATAAACTTGAACCCGCCAGCTGGCCGTCGAGCGGAAGCGGGGCTTCAAGGTTCAACGGGCCCCTAATTGAGAGCCGAATTTTATTTGGCAAACGGCCAAAGGCAGTCAACCGCTTAGCACCGTGGGTGGGTCACTTTAAATGGCCAATGGTGTAGTAAAAATATAAAGAAAACGCCATCCAAACTATGCTTTATCAAATAAAAGAAGCATAAAAAGCAGGGACCGTAAATAAAATATAAAAAATGAACTCTAATTTACGATCCCTGATAAAAAGTCATCGAATCGCTTCCCAAATCAAGACATAAATTTAATTTTATATAAGAGTATATTTTTAAAAAAAAATGTACTTTCTCTATGCTTAAAATATAGCTTCTTCACTCCTTTTATACTTAAGTATAGCGTATAAACCGAGTTGGTTTTGCCTATTATAAAATAATATAAAGTTAAGCGACCACAATCATTTTACTAAGCTCTGCCATTTCAGAAAAGGTAATATAATTATTATTATTCAAATTTCTAAAATATTGTTTGTAAAATCACACAATCAAATTTATAATTTTCCTCCTTTTTATTCACTTTAAAAAAAGTGTGAGAAAAGAAATTAAAGAATTTACATGATCCTAAAACTTTTTTAACTTAAATACCTTAAAGGTTTTATAAGATAAGAGTAATATTTGAGATAATATAATATTAGTAGCTAACAGTACACAAATATAATATTATCTGTTATTGAAAGTTTTACATATTAAATAATATTTTTGGTAGCTAAACGTTATAGGCTCATTAAAGAATTTTAATATTTTAGATCATAGTAGCAATAAGGAGTATGTAAATAAATTTATTTAATATCTAAGGCTAAGATTTAATGGTCAATTTTCAAAGTCAAAGTGCTTGACATTTCATAAATATTTCATTAACCAACTGCAAAGTAGAATCGAAACGATTAGTCCTCGAACTCCTCTATTACCATATCCAGAGGAGCATCGTTGTTCGTTGGCAGCATAAAATCAGGAGCCGCATAGTCGGGTTGACTTGACGCCTCCGCCTCCGCCTCCGCCTGAGAACTGGCGACGGACTCATAGCCGAACAGGCACTCACCCAGCTCCCCCAGTTTGACCCGCTCCTGGTACCACAGCAGTCGATCCGTGTTTCCGCCCAAGGACTGGTCCAGCAACTGGCGCCTCTGACGACCCCGCTCCAGAAACTCAATGTAGTCGATGGTCTTGAACTCGTTGAACATGCCCAGAATCTCGAAGGAGTCCTCGCAAACCTGTTCGTAGGTGTCGGCATTCTCCACCTCTCGTTTTACCCGCTCCTGGATCATCTCGCTGCGCTGCATGTCGGAGATCTCCGCCGGCAGGATTCGCGCCCGGATGGTGGCGATATCGTTCTCCACTCTGGCCAGGACATCCGAATGGGACTTCTTCTTGGCCGCCTCGTAGGCCAGCTGCTCCTTCTCCAACGCCGTCTCCCTGGCCAACTTCTCGGGATCCATTTGCTTGCGCGACATCAGGATGGTCATCATCCGGTTTAGGTTCAATTCGTCCCACTTCACTGCCATTCTCTCATTGTAGTTGAGGCCACTGTACGGCTTTTTGGCTCTGAACGATCAAAGTAGTTACTAAGGATTAGGTAAGGAAAATATCTTAACCTACCTGCTCTCCCCTGCTCCTCCTCCTTCTTCATCAGCAGACTTCTGACCCTTCTTTCTGGTGGCCAGCTGCTCCTCTCTCTCCAGCTTCTCCATTTCCTTGCGGGTCTCCGCCTCTGCCTCCCGCTTCGCCTCGATGATGTCCTTGTTGAGTTCGTAGTACTTCTGCTCCCATGCCTGGATGCCCACCTTGCGGCGCTCCTCCTTCAGGACGTAGTTCATCAGCTGCTGCAGTTCATTGGGCAACGGAACATCGAAGGTGTGGGGCAACTTCACCATGCGGATGCTACTATTGTAGTCTCCAATTCCCAGGATCTTGTACGGCAGCGAAGGACGGTGCTCGGTGATGCCAGTTATTACACCTCCGCCAAGTATCTCGCTTAGGCAAGCGTCATCATCTCGAGCTTTAGGATAGTGGAATTATAACATTTCGTAATTTCCTAGTATAGCGGGTATAACACCATAGTTTAAATTTTGTGATTTATTAAAAACAAGAAAGGAAAGCTAACTTCGGGCGGAGCCGAAGTTGATATACCCTTGCAGAATATTCTATAAATTATATTCTCCAAAATGATTCATATGATGCATTCTTAATACTCATAAAAAGTCCCAACTTCCTAACTTAAAAAACACCAAAGTTATGACATTTCCAATCGTTCAGTTATATGGCAGCTATAAGATATAGTCGGCCGATCCTTATGAAATTTGGTAGGTCGGATTTATTGGCCAAAAATAAAACCCATAAAAAATCCCAACTTCCTAACTTTAAAACCACCAAAAGTTATGGCTTTTTCGATCGTTCAGTTATATGGCAGCTATATGATATAGTCGCCCGATCTGGCTCGTTCCGACTTATATACTACCGCAATAGAAAGACAACTTTGGGAAAGTTTCAACAGATAGCTTTAAAACTGAGGGACTAGTTTGCGTAGAAAGGACGACAGACGGACGGACAGACGGACATGGCTATCGACTCTCCTGGTGATGCTGATCAAGAATATATAACTTTATAGGGTCGGAAATGTCTCCTTCACTGCGTTGCAAACTTTTGACTGAAATTATAATACCCTCTGCAAGGGTATAAAAACCTGCACTTCTCAAAGTGGCTTACTTCTAATTGATCGTGGCTTAATTCTTTAAATATCTGTGTATTTCACTTGGTTTGTATTTAGGGGTCATTTTTACGATGTTACCCCTTTTCAAATTTTTATAAAATTGGTTTTGCATAAAAGTGGCCGAAAACCTGCACTTCTAAGCTCATAACTTCTCTTACAAACATCCGATTTCAAAGTGGCATACTTCTACATGACTGTGCGTTAATTCTCTAAAAGTCTGTATACTCATCTTGGTTTGTATTTTTGGGTCGATTTTTCTTCATTGTTACGATGTTACCCCTTTCCAAATTTTCAAAAAATGGCTTTACAGAAATGCGACCAAAATCCAGCACTTCTAAGCCCATAACTTTGCTTAAAACCATTCGATTTCAAAGTGGCATACCTTAAAATGATTGTGGTTTAATTCTCTAAAAATCTATGTTTTCAGCTTGGCTTGTGTTTTGGGGTCTATTTATCGTCATTTTAATGATGTTATCCCTTTCAAAATTTTCGAAAAATGTCATTGCTGAAAAGACACCTAAAATCTGCACTTCTAAGCCCATAACTTGTCTTACAGACATACGATTTCAATGTTGCATACCTCTAAATGATTGTGGTTTAATTCTCTAAATATCTATGTATACTCATCTTGGTTTGTACTTTTGGGTCGAAAAATAACTTTGCAGAAAAGTGACCAAAAAGAATTTGTTAGCTTATTTACTTTTAACAGAAAACTCATTTGATTTTCTACATTATTTTATAAGAAACGGGACATTCTCATTTGCAAAATATGATGGTAAAACCTAGTGAATTTCTTAGCAAATTCAGTAACTTTAAAATTTCATCACAAGAGCAATACGGCTTATTGAGCAAATTTGTTTGCCATTTTAATGGTGGCCTTATATAGCTTTTCAAACTTACCCAATATATCCCACGCCTCGAGAATCCCATCGATCCTGGTCAAATACAAAACTGCCGGACGCGTTTCGCTCCAGGCGACGGCGGTGAGGTCGCAGGCTCTTTGGCGCCAAAAGATGGGCGAGTAGTTGTAGTCCTCCTTCCAGATGGCCAGGATGGTGCGTCCAATGGAGGCGAACAGCTGCGGATAGAAAGGGTTCTTCTTCACCATCACCACAGGTCCATCGTGGACCATGGCAAAGGGAATGGAACTATTAATGGTCTCCGTGGCCTCACCCTCCGTGTAGGTGCCCTGCCAATCAATTCGGCTGATATGACCATAAAAAGTGGAGACTATCATGCTCTGGCGCACAGTTGAAGGGTCCTTGGCTATCGTCTTGATGGGATAATTGGAGGGATTGGCGTGTATCAACCGTGCCACCGGCGTTAAGCACGAGAAACACGAGGTGTCCGCTATGATTCCCGTCAGGGGTTCCGGGAAATAAATATTGTAGGTGGGCTTAATGGCCAGCGACTTGAAAGCAGACTCGCTCTGGGTCAATTCCTTGGGCAGCATGCGGTTCCGCATCTTCTCCTTGGCACCCTTCGCTCCCTTGCCATCGAGGTCCCAGAAGCTAATGGTGCCATCAAAGGCGCAGGTCACAAAGAACTTGTGGTGATTCCGGTTATCGGTGTCATTATAGACCTTGCCAAACTGACTCAAATAGATCGAACGACCCAGCCAGTAGAATCCTGTGATGGCACCCTTCGGTGAGCAGTCCAACATGGAAATGGTGGCCGGCGTGATGACATTATCTTCTATGTCAATGGTCCAGTTCAGGAACTCGCCGATCATTACCCGGTACTTGGCCTGGGCAGCCGTCAGATACTCCTCCTCATCCAACTTCTCGCACCGACCCTGCAGATCCCACAACACAACCTGACCATTCTTGCAGCCTCCAATCAGGATATCCGCATTGAAGGGGCAAAAAGTCAGTGCGGTGGTCTCGATCGGCGCCTCGAACTCCAGCTTGTAGTTCAGGTTATCCGAGAAGCTCCACAGGAGTACGGGATTGGGCTCCAGAACCGCTCGCTGCACATAATCCACCCGATCGCTGGCCTCTTTAATGGTGGCTGGAGTACTAAAAGCATAGGAAACTGCAATCAGACCGGATAATTTCGGATACCAGTCGTAGCCAGCCACATAACGTTTGTTGCTCTTCGAGATGTTCGCAAAGCAGAGGAACTCCTGGAGGTACGGATTGGTGTACTGCACCACTTGTCGAGTGGATATCAAACTATAGTCGTCGCTGAAATGTGAAAAATATGGTTTTTAGTTAGTGAATTTAGCTCTATATTTGATGAAATATTTTATTGGATTATAAACCACAAGAGTTAACCCACCGATAACTGTCGATCTGATTGAAATCCAGGGTATTGAGCAGCATTTCTATTTGTTCGGACATTTCGGGCGGTAACTTTTCCGGTTCCACATAAGTTCCTGGCTTGGCTTGGGCCTTTCTCTTCTCCTCCTCTTCGTCCACTTCGGATTCATCCAGCTCGAGATCTTTAGGTGGTGTTAAGACAGCATAAGTCTTTAAAACAGAACCACTAAGAAAACCCACCTTCATCGTCGATCTCGTAGAGATACTGCGACCAAGCATTCGAGGGAAAAGTGGGGTTGGTCTGCTGTTCCCGATCGATCTTGGGAGGAGCGGATTGGACAGCAACCGTGACCCGTTTCTTGGTCACATTTTCCCACTTGATGTTCTCGTTTGGCAAAAGTTCGATCACTCCATCTCTGACATCCCGGGTCATCCGATAGTCGAAGGCTATGTGTCGCGGCATCTGGATCGGGTACACACTCTGGATCTCCACGTCGATGGGCTCGTCCTTGAAACGCTCCACCAGGATGGTCATCTCGTCGTCGGTTCCATGGCTCACCCACCGACGCGGTTTTTTGCGCAGGCGCCGTTGCATCCGCCATCGCTCGAAGTGCTCCATGTTCTGGATGATGCCCATGGCCATCTTGGACTCCTTGATGCTCGAGTAGAAGATGAAGGGCTCGCCCTCGGGCGGATCATCCTCTTGTTCGGTCAGCAAAGGACAGAAGCCCATGAGAACATAGTGCTCCGGATTGAAGTTCTTGAACTTCTTCATCAGGTCGGCCGAGTTCTCAAGCTCGTCGAAGAGAACGTCTCGAAGGTCCTTGAACTGCACCTGCTTCCAGGGAAACTCCTGCGTCACATTGATGCCCACCTCGATCTTCAGGATCTTCTGAGCCTTCTCCCTGGATTAAAGGCAGTTATAGGACTTAAAGGTAATATAAAGTCTTATAACTTACGACACCATGACCTTCTGACAGCTGGCCAGCGACATCAGCGTTCGCCAGGACTCCTGGACATTGAACAGGCCACGGGGATCGCCAACTTCCTCATCGGAATCCGGCTCCTTGAACTTCTTGAAGTAGGGCTTATTGCGCTTTGTCGATAAGGCTGCTGCGGCCAATGCATCCGACGCTTCCAGCTCCCCGGGCTGACCCTCGGTGTCCCCATCCAAGTCCATCTTCCCCGCGATCTCCAAATCCATGGACGACATGGTCAGTGGCTTTTTCTAGAGGGCTCCCTCTGGCGCGTCTCTCGAAAAAAGTTGTTTGTTTATTTGTTGTCTCTCTACTGACAACTAGGAAACACCAGTTCTGTCATGGCAATCCGGGAGCATGCGCAGGATTTAGTTCCCAGCTAAGACAAGGAGATAGTTTGTTATTTTAATAGAAAACTAAATGCCGTTTTACATGAATATTTGCCTATTAAAATGTTTGTACCTATATTTATTTGTAGTTACTACTTTAATCCCTTTGACTATTTGTTTAAAGGCACCTAAATTATTAAATCATTTATAATTTTACTTTTGATCCATATTTTTAAATTCAATGCTAATTAAAAAGCACAGACCTTTTATTTATTAACTTAACTAAAAATTAACTTAGGCTCTGTTTTATTTTCCAGTGCAAAGCTAAGGCCTGAATGGAGTTTCTCTTGCTCTGGCAACTGAAAACTCCATTGAACGTGAACGCACATAAACAGAATTAAGTTGAAACATTTTCACTCATTTACATGGACGATTCGCGTCGGCTTGGCAATTTTTCCTCAACGATTTTTGAGTGGGTGATTGCCTCGTTGTCGATGTCGTTTCGCCTTCGTTGTCGTTGTTTTGGGGATATGCCGTTGTTGCTGCATTTCACATCATTATCTTTGACCAAATACGGAACTATGCGCAAAAAACGCAATTGTGTGTCACTCACAGAGACTTCAAACCCGAACGAAAAAGCTACGAAATATGTGTTTCTTGTGCGATCTGTGGCAGTTGTTGTCCGAGTCCCAGTCCCAGTTCCTGACCCTCCTTACGTCTGCGATCTTTGCTACTACAGAGAAAAAAACAGTAGAAAAGCTACACATTGTCATTGATTTGAACAAATGCTGTTAGTTTTTTATTTTAATTCTTATTCCTATATCTTAATATGATCTATTTTTGTCATGTGGTGCTTCTATATAACCAAGACTAGAAGTCTATAACCATTTTGATTCTTTCAAATGTATTAGTAAGTCATGGTCTTATGATAACTATATCCTGATTTATACTCAATAAGAAATGCATAAAGCTAACAAATAAATATTATGCTTCGATTTAAATAGGAAATTGTAAAATATAATGCCAAATTCTAATAGGTTTCAGCCTGACCACATTATTTATTGCGAGTATTTATTGTTAAATATTCAAGTTTAGAATGACAAAAGTAGAATTACGGTATTTCAAATAAAATGTTAAGAAGTGAGTATTTAAGGACCTTATTTTCGAGATATTTTCTCAGTGCAGCTGAGATCGGTTCAACAAACGCCACAATGGAAAGTCTTCGAGTTGACGCACTACGCAATCGAAATCGAAAGTTCTCTGATGGACAGCTGCGAATGCGACTGCCGTGGTGCAGAGTGCACAGTACAGAGTACAGAGTCAATGCACCACCGCGATTTTACTGGTGGCTCAGGTTGTGGCAGCGGTGGCGGTGGTGGTTTGGTGGTGCCACATGAGTGGCACACATTTAATGGATGCACGTCGCTCACTTTCATTCTGGGCGTCTGCCCAACTTTCGATTTTAAATGCAATTTATGCACCTGTCACTCAGCCAGCTGATAACTGGCAACTCCGATTAGCCGCACTCCGCATTCGGCGGCTATTGTGCCCACTGTTACCATGTTGCAAGTAGCTTGCAGCGCCACAAAAGCCAATAAATCAGTGGACAAATTGTTGACAAAACATTTCGTAATTTAAATAAGAGAAAAACGCGACAAGCTGCCGATAGTCGCCGGCCGATAGTTGGTAGCATGCCACAAATGCAGCCCAGGCCAAAAAACTTCCTCATCCGTCTGAAGTCTGAAGTCTGCGCTGCAACACCACCAAAACAACAATGACAACAGCCCCACTCGGGCAGCCAAAAAATAAAACCACACAAAAACAACAGTGGGGCAGGCTGATAATTCTCTGATTGGCAACTCTGCACATGTGTGTATCTGTGTTGCAGTGAAAAACTGAGTTTTCCAAAACAACACCACCATCTACAGCTCCCCCCTTGACCTTATTGACAACCACGAAAACATAGGGTTATGCTGATAAATCGAAGATTAGATACGCTGGATATATACTTGAAATTATGTAACTACAATAAATGGTGTTGAAAATCATAAAGGACAGTTTTTATGCATACCTTACATTACAATTTTCAATATTTAGCTCTGGTATATAAATGAATTAACTGTAAACTAAATATGTATAAATTTAGGTAATTTAGGTATAAATTATTACAAAATACCTTGTCCTACTTTTCTCCTGACAATGTTTTGTGAACAATTTATAAATTCAATTTTAAATCTATAAAAAGTTTAGATATGGCATACATTTATAGTTCAAGTACTTAAATGTAAGCTAAACTTTAAAGAAGACAGAATCATAAAAAATCAATATAAAACGTTACTTATTTGTGAAATTGATTAAATGATCACCAATAACTTCATCGTTTTAATAACTTTTTCCAGATACCAAAGGCCATCTTTGAAGATTGATAGCTCTGGGGAAGGTGTTAAAATCTCATAATCCCCTTAGAGGGTATTACAGCCGCTGAATCGCAGGCTGGGCTGGGCTGCCATTGCCATCATAATCGCCAAAAGTCGTAGGCAGTGGCCAACACGGAGCAGCACCGGCAACATTTGGCATTCGGCATGCGGCATGCGGCATCCAACAGTCAGCATTCAGGAGTTGTACAACTGGCGACAAAATGTTGCATGTTCGTGGCGCTGTCACCGGAGCTCTTGGAGGCTTTGGCTTTGACTTCGGCTGGGGGAATGTATGCAAAAAGGTGCTAAAAAGATCAGAGGCAGCGATTTATCTTCATTTGCATTTGACGTCGCTGGCTGTGTGTCAAAAAGGTGTTAAGTGCCAGGCAACAGCCAAAACCGATCCGACTCGAGCCGACTTTCGGCGCCGCTTTTGATGGCAGCCACAGTAGCCGATGCGCATAATTTTCTATATTTTATAACTTTTCGGTGGCCGAAAAAAGCCGAAAAAAAAACAGAAAAATACCAGGGGGAGGTGGAAAAACTCTGTTCACACAGAGGCACATCAATCCGTTGAACCGCGAACGCCCAATAAGGCGAAAACCCCCCAGCACGAACCGTTATTATGGCCAGGCAAATTTGCCAAAAAAAATCAACCCAACAATGGCCACTTCTAGCCGGGCCAACAGACATGCCAAAGACAAACCAAAGCCAAAAACCCCCGAAAAAAGAAACAAACCGAAACGGAAAACCAACCCAAACTGAACTGAACTGAACCGCGCTAAGCGTTAGATAGTCGCACCGATAAAAGGGACATGAAATTCAAATTTGAGTGCTGCAAATTTGCCTGGCGACTTATCAGTCGAGTGAAATTTGCAACTAGAAACGGCTTCCGTATTACGGCGTTTTGTGAATTATGTGAGAAATTTGTTTGTGGGCTAAATAGTTTACTGATTTGCCGCCCCCCGCTGATCTCCACCAACATAAGTTTTTCCACTGATGTCTGCCGATGGCGCAACACGGCGTATGGGTAATGGAACTAAGAGGAAGTGCCAGAGATTAAATCGAGGTAGGGGATACTATTGAAAACTGGGTCATCTAAAAGTTTCCATTAAAGGAGTAGTGAATTAGGTCTCCCAGAAACTGAAATTCTCTAGGGACTTACCTTTTTTAATGTAACTATAATGGCTTTACCTTGGCTTATCAATTTTCCCGTAAAAAAGTTGCAACATTTTCTCTTTTCCCATGAAAAACTTGGCTAATTGCTTACAAGTGTAACAGCCATCAGACTGTGAAAATATGACTTGATTTTAATAAGCAACTGCCAACAAAACATTGCAAAATATTAATGAGAGGAAGCGCTTAAATTGGTGAAAGGGAAATTGCCGCCAAACGACGTTTTGGCTGTCCCTCTTGTAATTTAATATGGTTAAGTAAAAAATGTAATAACTTACTTGACTTCACTGCAATAAACTAAGTCTCTGCTTAAATATATTTATTTTATTTTTTTTTAATTTTTAACTGGTTTTTAGGCGATACATATTGCAAGCCTTTTTGTTATCCATAAAATGAGTACTGCATTTTAAAAATCATTGGTTTCACAATGTTTACAAAGTTTCTATGATCAAAAACAACATACTAAGCATTTCGCAATGCTGTTAATATCTAACTTGACCTATCAACAATCTAGAGTCGTATTTTGTAATTAAGGGTATGAAAAACTGTATTTGTAATACGTAAACATTCAAATATTATAAAGTGTCATGCGCTTTAACTTGATGACGCTGGGAGTCATTAGCTCGAATCTAGTATTGAGTCTTGAATTTGATTCCTCAGGCCTCAAGCTTCAATCTTGGCTCGAGCCTGATTCTCAAATTCTTCTAAGGCTGCTTGGAAATCCTGAAATTCTAGTATTTAAGCCCTATAATTAGAATTCCTATGTGCCAAAAGCTACAGCCGCATCGGATCGTAATTGGAGCCCGCGACACAGCCAAAGATCGGGGCTGATTCGATTTTTCTAGCGAGAGTGTGACAGTGATAATCCCCCGAGAAATATGCACACAAATTAGGCATGCATGTGGCCCAGGTAGGATGTGGTTTTTTTTATTTGTTTGGGAGGGGGAGGGGCTGCGGATACTATGCCTTAGTGGCTTTTGGCCATTGTTGGCATATTTAAAGTTGTAAAATAGCAAGCCAAACACGTTTGACCGACATTCGTGACCAAAGTGCGGCTGCCGATCCGTTTGGATCGCTTGGCTGGGGCTGAACCAGGATTTCAATTTCGATTTCGATTTCGCTTGGGCCGGCGACAAATGTGGTCCGCTCCCAAGATCTGCCGATCCCCGCCAGCCCCCCTTTCCCTCCGCCCAGCTGACCGTGTGACTACTTTGGCAAATGAAAATGCTTAGAAGGAAAATAAAAGTTGGGCTGAGCGGAGCGGCGAAGCCAAAATAATTTATGATGCACTTTTTCGAGACTGGGGCCTCCACTCGGTGGATAACTCCGTGAGTCATGGGGCGCTCCGCTCGCCGCCAGGTGTCGCTCAAACAAAAGTGAAACCGTTCTGGT